GAGTTACACCTTCAGCCTCTGGCTGTCCACTTTTATCTCCCTTGTCATTACCTTAGTTCCTAATCATCTCACTTGTAGTGACATAATAGTTCTTTCCTTCAGTGCTGGGTGTCACTGTGTAGCCCAGGCTAGCCTCAAACTCAAGATCATCCTGCCTCAGCCTCCCAAGTGTTGGGATTACAGGAATGCATCATCACACCTAGCTACTAAAATTTTTTTAATTTTTAAAAAAACATTTTGGAAGCTTTGGGGTTTTAACTCAACGTCTGGCACTTGCTAGGCAAGGAGTTCTACCACTTGAGTCACGCTCCCCTTAGCCCTTGTGCTTTATTTATATTCACTGATTGATTTGGCATACCTGAGGTTTGAACTCAGGGTCTCATGCTTGCTAGGCAGGCACTCTAATCTCTTGAGCCACTCCACCAGCCCTCTTTTGTGTTGGGTATTCTTGAGACAGGGTCTTCCAAACTATTTGCTTGGGCTGGCTTCAAACCTTGATCTCCTGATCTCTGCCTCCTGAGTAGCTAGGATTATAGAAGTGAGCCACTAGTGCCTGGCTGCTTTAATTAGTTTTCAGATAGGGTCTCAAGTTTTTGCCCAGGGCCAGCCTGGGCAAAATCTTTCTACCTATGGCCTTGCAGGTATCTGGGATCACAGGTGCGTACCACCACCTCCAACTTACTGAGATGGGGTCTTGTACCATCTCCACCTCCTGAGCAGCTTGGATTGCAGACCTGGCTCTAAATAGCAGCTTCTCATTGCCTCCAGGAAGAAAGTCCAAGAGTCCTTTGTGATCTGACTCTTGCTTACTTCTACCCATGTCTGGCCTCACTCCTTGCATAAATACAGTTATGCAGTTATTTTCAGTTTCTAGAATGTAAACTCCTCTGAAACATTTTATATACTATTCTTTCTAGAATAGTAATGTCTTTTTCCCAGTCTAACTTCTTTACTTGAGGAAGCCCTACTCCTCTATCCATCACATTAGAATCTACTTTCTGTGAAAGGATTTTCCTGTCCTTCCCCATCTTTCCAAATTGAGTGGGTGACCCTACTCTGTGCTTCCCAAAGTGTTTTTATTCCTATTTTAGCACTGCATCCCTGTATTTTAATTGCCTCTCTACCTATGTTTATTACTTCTCCATATAGACTATGAACTCCTTGAGGACAGGAACCATATTTTGTGTACTATTTTAGTCCCTGAAGGGTTTTATCTTCCATTTTCTTCCCTACCCTTTTTTAAAGCACTGGGGTTTGAACTCAGTGCCTCATGCTTGCTAGGCAGGTACTCTACCACTTGAGCCACTCTGCCAGCTACTTTGAAAATAAATGAAAGCAGAGTTTACAAAATTTGCTCAGTTATCAGAAAAAATCAAAATTAAGATTTTTTTATTTCGGTACTGGGGCTTGAACTCAAGGCCTTGACCTTGAGCCACTCCACCAGCCCTTTTTTTTGTAATACGTTTTTTCAAGATAGGGTCTCTTGAACTATTTGCCCAGGCTGGCTTCAAACCACAATCCTTCTGATCTCTGCATCCTAAGTAGCTAAGATTATAGGTGTGAGCCACCGGTGACCAGCCAAAATCAAGATTTAAAAGCAGGCAGCATCACACTAGAGCCAGTCCATCACTAAATCCATCCCCTTTAAGTCCCTTCTCCACACAACTTGGCAGTGACCCATCTAAAACAAAGACCTGACCAGATCTCTCCCTTGTAATCCCTTCAGTGGTTCCTAGGCCATGTGCATGTTACTTCCCTGAGCCCTAACTCCTGTCTACCTTCTAGTCTGGCCTCTGGCCACTCTCCAAGGCTCACCTGATTCTGCTACTGCAGGAAACAAGAATCCATGCTATTACATCCTTCTCTGAGCAATGGTCCCTCTTCCAAAATGCATTTGTTTTCCACTCAGTTTTCAGGAGATGTCCTGTGCATCCTTCAGTACTTACTCTAGGAAATCTTTCCTCATCACTCTTCTTCCATCCCTTCATAGGCAGTGAAGGGAATCCTGCCTTTAATCTCAGAAGCTGTATGACTTGGGGATAAGGCAAGTCATTTTGGTTTTCTGTCTCCTTTGTACTTATTCCCCCCAGCCAGGGGAGAGCACGAATAAATTATGCAGTCAAGTTTCACAAATTTGGGGAAATCACAGGGATCAGCATATCTGGAGTGCAATGGATAACCCTCACCCTAGGAAAACCATCTTCATGATCATGTTATCTCCTCTGCCAGGTAAGTATCCTTTGTACTTTTTATATTTATCACAAATTAATCTTATTGATGGATTGATTCCAGTACTGGGAATTGAACTAAGTATTTCCCACTTCCTAGGCAGGCACTTTACCACTTTACTCACACCTCAGTCCTGTATCTATTTTTTACTTTCTTCTTTTTTTGGCCAGTATTGGGGTTTATACACTTGAGCCATATCCCCATCCTTTTTTGCTTTAGTTTATCAGGTAGGGTCTCATATTTTTGCCCATGGCTGGTCTCAAACCAGGATCCTTCTATGTACAGCCTCCCACAAAACTGGGATCATAGATATGCAGTGCCATGTTTGGCTTATTGACTGAGATGGGGTCCTGCTAACTTTGCCTGGACTGGCCTCAAACCACAATCCTTCTTGATCTCTGCCTTCTGAGTCGCTGGGATTCCAGCTGTGAGCCACAATGCCAGCCTTATTTTTACTGTTTGAGACAACTGTAGTCCATCCTACTCCCCAACTCTCAATCCTCATGCTTCTGATTCCCAAGTGTAGGGATTACAAACCTGCACCACCAGGTCTACCACCTTATGTTTATTGGTAAGTTATCTGTCTCTAACAAAATTCAACTAACAAATCATCTCCTGACTGTCCTTCCCTTACTCATGGAGCTACAGCTACATCATTTTGCCTTTATTTGTATGCCATGCCATGTCATTTCATCCCTGGAGAGAACCTTCCCTTTCCATTTTAGCCTCCTCAAAGTCCACTAGAGGGCATGGTACGTACAAGGGCTGCTTGTGTGGGTGCCTGGCTCATGGTGGATATTGGTTTTTTTTTTTGTTTTTCAGTACTGGAGTTTGAACTCAGGGCCTACACTTTGAGCCACTCCACAAACCCTTTTTTGTGATGGTTTTTCTCAAGATAGGCTGCCTTTCAACCTCAATCCTCCTGATCTCTGCCTCCTGAGTAGCTAGGATTACAGGTGTCAGCCACAGGTACCTGGCTTGTCTGCCTTTTCTATGCCCAGGCTGTATCACACTAGCTGAAAGTAAGTGCTGCTACACAATGACAGTGACTTCATTTCTGTTCTTCTGCACGAGATGGCTCAGCTGAGAGGCTTGTCAGCGAACCCTTAAAAGGACAGATTTTAGAAAACACTCACCTAAAAAGAAAAGAATAACAAAAAGACAGCCGAGCACCAGTGGCTCACGCCTATAATCCTAGCTACTCAGGAGGCAGAGATCAGGAGGTTCCAGGTTTGAAGCCAGTCTAGGCAAAATAGTTCTCAAGCCCCTATCTCAAAGAAACCCAACACAAAAAGGGTTGGTGGAGTGGCTCAAGGTGTAGGACCTGAGTTCAAGCCCCAGTACCACTAAAAAACAAAGAAAAAAAAAAAAAGTTTAGGTAGGAGGGAAGGACAAAAGAGGGTAATTGGAGGGGGGATATAATCAAAGTTTATTCTATACAAGAAAATATCATATTTAAACCCATTAAAATGTAAAAAAAAAAAAATCATTACCTACTAACTGAAGCTCTTCAGTTAATCAGCTTTGCCATCTTCCAAGTAACTTATTTCCATATCTCAACTTCCTCATTTGTATTAAAATGAACTTGCACTAACTGAATAATCCCACATTCAGGCCTCCCTAATTCCCCAATCATATCTACTTTGCAGACAAACCAGGGATAACATGTTTGAAAAGAAGTCATGGGACTGAGAAGCCTCACTAACCCCACAATAAACACTGCAGTAATTTGTAACCCAGAATATAGCTTTGAGTCTATACCTGTTGAAGTATTGAATTTTTTCACATACTTTCTTCCAGCTAGACAATAAACTCCACAAAGGAAAAATGTGCCTTTCTTTAATGTGTCTTCACTCCACCTGGCTCACTATCTAGTTGCTGTTCCAAAAGGCAGATGGTTAGGATGCATCACAATCTCCTGGCTAAATCAGAAGGCCAGAAAAATTTTACTTGGAAAACTGATTAAGAGTAAAATTCCTTCTCTAGTATAGAAGGGGCTTCCTTTTCTTCCCCCAAGTTTAAGGATGATTTCTCTGGACTATGTCTCCTAAACCTTATTTATCTTCCTTGAAGCAGAGTCATTTGAGAAGCCAATCACATTTGGGAAAATACCACAATCAATTCTCCTACCCAAAGTTGGGCAAAATAGGCAATTAGTTTCAATCTACTATGATTAACTATTGGGTGAATGGTGAGGAGTGAAGAGGCAGGGGAGACTGGTATGTGTTTATTTCTCCTTTGGTAGTGTTTCTTTCATACATTACATTCACAAACAGGTTTTAACTTCTTTCAGTGGCAGGATTCCAGAAATGCAGGTTGGAACATCATGGGGAAAAAGAAGTCACTCTGCCTTCTGCTGGCCACAAGCAGAAAGACTAGTTCCTTTTGGCTAATTACTAAGGGTCACATTACTCCTTCATAGACATGGAACTTATTAAGGAATGGAAAAAGAAGAATGAACATTCTTTTTTTTTTTTTGCTGAGCCTGGACTAAACTTTTAGGTGTCAATAAGCCATTTAGACTAAATACCTTACATCTCTCATTTTGTGAGCTACAACCTGAAGCAACAAAGAATGGATAGGGTGAGGAAAAAGCCCTGGTCTATATGCCTCCATTCCCGCTCCATCTTCCTAAGTGTTGGAAGCAGGGAGCTGTACCCCATACTAGAGGCCCCTTTGTTCCTTAGAAATTCAGAGTCCCTATAAAGTGTCTTCAGTATTGTTCTCTTCACCCTCCCAAACCCCAATAAAACACACCAACTGCTTTAGAGTATTTCTGGGTTGGGTTTTTCATTGGTCTTTTTTTTTTCTTCTTTTTTATTTCAAATATTGAAAAAGTCCCCGAGGCTCTGTGGGGCTCCCCACACTCATGGCTCCTTTCCCCCACACTCACTGCCCTTCTTCCCATAGCAAATCTACTTCAAGGACAACACTTCAATGAACAATTGAGTTCTCAGCTTGCTCTGCAGAACCAGAGGAGCTGTTCACAACTGTTATAGATGACAGTGTCTTTTATCTGACACCAGGTCTCCATCCACATCCACACAAGGCATTTATCCACAGAGCTGAATTAGAACCCTTATTATTCATTAGTCTACTCCACTTCCTCCCTGTTAGACCCATCCCACACCAACCACATGGTAGAAGGAGGACAGTCAGGAATAAACATTCCTAACTTAAAACATTCAACTCTAAATCCTAATTCATAGTCATCCAACTCTCCCATCCCACCCTCTCAACCCCACCCACAGGATTTCACTGAGATTTTCCCAATAGTTATTTGGAAAAAAAGAAAAAGGTAAAACAAAAACGTCTAGGTCTTGGTGCTCAGCCCAAAGGGGTTCCATGCGCTGGGACACCAGCGGGCAGGGGCTTCTGCCTCTCCAGCCCATTCCCAAGCCACCTCCTGACCCCTGGCTGCAAAAGCAGGGAGGGACAGGAACCAGCACGGGGGAGGGGGGGGGGATGGGGGGGCAGCATCTCAGGATCTGGCAGAGCCCCAGGCAGCATCATTCAACTTGGCCACTGTGGATGAACACAGAAGAAGAAAAAAAAACAAACAAACACACACACATAAAAAAAAAACACTGTCAAGTAATAGGGGAAGAACCTTAAATTCCACCCCACTCTCTACCCCATGATTCTTTGACATACTTCATCATTAGGCTACCTGACATATGCTTTTTTTTTGGTACTATGGATTGAACTCAGGGCCTCTTACCACCCGAGCCCTTTTGTTTTTGAAACAGCGTCTCACTGTCTTTGCCAGAGGCTCCTTTCTCTACCTCCTGAGCTGCTGGGGGGATTTATAGCTGTACACCAGCATGCCTGACTTATATGCCTCAATCTTATCCATAAGAGTTGCAAAAAACAGAAAGGGAGAATTTCAGTCTTTTCCTATCCACAAATACAATGTTTTCTGTCTTTCTGGAGATACTCATAGAAAACAAATACAGAAAAACAATTTTGGGGGGGGACAGTATTGGAGATTGAACCCATTTGCTAGGCAAGTGCTTTACCATTTGACCCAAGCTACCAATCTGGAAAAATAATTTCTTAAACATCAAACAAATGAATGTTTCTAGTGGAGTAGCCTGCCTATTTCAGAGCAGGCTCTGTTTCTGAGGCAGGGCCACAGCCACTGGCAGTACTGAAGACTGAGGTAGCAGAGCAGTGAGGTGGTGACTATGTGGAGGCCAGGGACAGACCATGCATATGCTGTGTGGAGTGAATCTGGGTTTAATCAAAGCAGTTTGCATTGGATTTTGAAATGAACCTTGCTAAGGAAGCTATGTACTTAATGCTGTGGAAACATGTTGCAAACACAGAATCCAGCTTGTTTTTGTTTCCTTAGTCTTAAAGATGACAGGTAGAGTGAGACTAACAGTTTGTCTAATTTCCCTATTCCTTTCTAAAAACCAGACTCATAAATATCTGTCTTCAGGACTCAAGCTGACTGACAGAGAAGGCAGTTCAGACAGGAAAGAAAAAAATACAGAACTCGAGCAGATCGGAGATGAAGAAAACGTACAAAATTATATATATATTTATATATATAATAACATGACATATCTATGTACAACATGGCTGGGACAGTTGAGGAAACCATACAATGATGTTCAGCATTTTCCCCTTCTCACATGAACTTTAGATTAAGGGAGACAGCATGAAAAAATGGAGCAAGAAACACAAAAAATTATATACAATTACAAGTGACAGTCAAGGAGTTTGGGGTCCAGAGATCCTGCTCTCTCCATTTCTTCCTCACCAACCTTTTCCTATCCAATTTGAATGACAGCCAGAAAACGGAGTGGTCAGTCCGAAGTACATGTACACCTCATCCCCTTCATGTACATCAGCAAGTTTGCCAGTCATTCTCAACAGGCCAAATATTTGACAAACCAGAATTTGGGACATGAAAGGGCGAGAGGTTTACAGAATCTTGCTCTCTTGACTAGTTAGTTCTCATTCTGCTAGTTGTCATAACTAGCAGGATGTATTCAGTAAGATTCAGGTCAAGCTGCAGATAACCAGATTGAAAATGTTGGTCACCACAACCCCTTCCTTCCACCTGTTCATGAATCAGCACTGCTCCCTCTCCTTACCATGTAAGAGCTGGGTTACTGAGCTCTAGGAAGGCAGATTTCTCGGTCTTCCTTCCCTAAACACTTTTCCCAGCTTCCTCCAAAATGAAACATCTCCTAATAACCTACTGTTCGGTTTATCCCCTTTCTTCCTTTCTAGCTAACTCACTTGGCATCTGATTACATCTCAAACATGGGTCTCCACATGGACATGACTGAACATGTTCCCTCAGGCTCATAAGCTCTGCTGCCAGAGCAGCTTTTTAGCAGTTACGGTCTAGATTTAGCCCCAAAAAAGTGGGTAAGGTAAGAGGCAATAAACTTCCATAGCTAGCTTCAAGTTTTTTTTCATTGCCTGAATTTATAGTTCTCAAATCTCAAACTTCCTCTCTCCTCATGTAGCCCTCAAAGATTCCCCTCTGTAGTACTTTCCCAGTATTACCCAGAATGAGAATCAATCTTATACACTGTTAACTCTATTCTACAGATGAGGAAACAGAAATCCAGAGAGGCTAAATGACCTGACCAATGTTATATATCAATACTGTTAAGACTAAGTAGAACCAGAACCCCGATATCTTGACTCTTAAACCAATGCTCTTTCCACTATCCCACCATACTTTCATAAGCAGCATGCTGGAAGAGAGAGAGAAGGTGCCCATATTCCATGAGTAACGTAGATCAACCTTTACATTATTTGAGAGCCACGGCAAACTAACAGATACTAAGTAAAGGAGGTGAAGTGGGCATAGTAATTTGAGGCAAACAAATCAGTTTTCCTGTTTGAGGGTTCTCTAAGCCTGCTGTAATGGAAACATGAAGCAATAGCAGCCTAAGGGACAAAACACTTAGAAGCACAGAAAACATGTCTCATTCAATCTGCCTTTCCCAACAATGTTGGGTTAGCTTTGGGATGTTAAACCTGCCACATTATTCCAAAGCTCAGCCTAACCAGTTTTGGGACCCACTCTTCCAAAAGAAGAAGTCTGTCTCCCCAGTTTCTCACAAAAGAAAGAGGGTTGGCAGCATTAGCCAATCCTAGTCTTTTCTATTTCTGGGTCTGAGCTACAGTGAGGATACAGAAGTCTCAATTTAACCGAAGGAATGAACTCTGAGTCCCCCTTCAACCTCTATTATCTTCTCAGTTTTTCCTGAGAAAGAATCAGTTTTTCCTGGCTAGCAAGCTGAGAGGATCTGACTAGGTACCCATTCCATCCCTGCCTACAATATATAAGTCCAGTGGGTGAGGAAGGGGAGAGAGGGGACCCAGGTTACCCCGCAAGCTTGCTGGTGACGAGTGAGGACTTTCTCTGGGGCAGATCCTGTGGGGTGGGGATGTGGTCACCAGTCACCAGGTTCTTGTCTGGTCCTGCACTTGGCAGCTGCTTATTCTTCATCTTGGCTTTGGCCATGTTGTAGTCTCCTGAGTCAAAGTACTTTTGCTAAGAGACAAGAGGGAGGTTTAGGTGAGTAAACAGATCTGGCATTCCTCAAAAGCAAGGAGACTCACATCCATCATAAACTCTCATCCACCCTGAGATCTTTCAAGAAGTCTTCCTCATGCACACACACTTTAACATTAATTATATGTACTTATGTCTTCTCCCCCGTGTGTTCCCAAGACTTTTTCAAGTATTAAGTAGTTTTCCAGCAAACCGTATGTATTTTGAGTCAAAGGACAGACCCTACACCCTCTGTACCTTATTCAGTATAGGATGGTTCATCTAGAATTACTTACTTCATTCATAAAGGCTTACTGAGGACCTTACTAGATGCAAAGCAATAGTGTGGTGCTGGGGAAATAGAAAAAAAATAAGATACACAGAAGGGTCAATCTGGAGTTACCCCAGAAATCAGAAGGAGATCAACCTGAAACCAACAACCTCAAAATTAAAAACTATTCACTCAGACCAGGAATAGGAACTGTGCTTGTTCACGAGAATAATGTGCTTTCCCTCTGACTCCCACTACTCCCACACATGTTCCATGGCTGTGATAGCCTGCCCACGCCTGCCTTGCCTGTGGCGAGGTAAACTGTAAATCAGCATCACATTATCATCTGTGACTCACACTCAATAACTGGGATTCTCCACAGGGATCTGTTTCACTCTACATTTCATAAGAGAGGAACACACTCCAGTTTAATGCCTCACAATTCCCCAGTCAGCTTACAGCACTAAGAAATGTAATCAGGAGATAGATAACTAAGAAGGTACATTTTTTCTTGGTGAGATGACCACTTTTTTTTTGCAATGCTGGGGATCGAATCCAGGGCCTTATGCATGCTAGGCAAGTGCTCTACCACTTGAGCTATATCCCCAGCCTCAGAAGAACACTCTGCAAAGGAAAAATAAAGTCTCTTCATGTAACACAGTTGAAGTCTGGCGCTAAGTTCAAGAGTCTGAAGAAATCTACTGTTCATTTCAATTTGCAAATTTATGTAGGACCGATGACTTCATCTTTTTCTGAAATGATGCACCCAAAAATTTGTCTCTAATTCCTAACAAGTGCAGCCCTCAAACCCCCATCATCCAAACAAGCAAATGTCTGGGGACACACACTTTCAGTCTCTAACATCCTTCATTGCCCATTCTATCACATACTTAAATGCCTCCACTATAAGGAAAATCAGAAAGAAACTAGTATCATATCAGGGATTTATAATAATTTGTTTAGCTCTTTTCAAATTTTTAATTCCTTTCTTATTGCCCAACAATAAAACCTCCAAAAAATATCCAGATTTCATTCATAGAGCCCTTTCTGGGTCCAAAGTAAGAGGGTAAGAGTTTGTGTCCCATACCCCTTTTTGGAGTCTCTTCATGAGGAAGTCAGAGCCTCCAGGCTTTTGTCCTAGGCTTGGATATTTGGCCTTTAGCTTTGCCTCCTCAGCTCTCTCAGGGAGAATACCTTCTTTTTCCTGTGTGTCCTAAAGGAAACAAGCCAAATAAAGTTAAAGACTAAGTAACAATTGTTTCTAATTATCTGATAACTCATATACTATGAACTTTTCCTGGGGATCCACCCACTTCACTTTGCTCTTAAAGCTAGACCTTTGTTCAAATCTCTAAAGCTCAAGATGACTGTATTGTGGAAGAAAAAGACAAGCTGCTTCTCACACTACACCCAAGGAACCACCCCAGAAACCTCTGAGTAATGGGTTAAAGGTAATACCTAAATACAACACTTGAACCACAGAGTAGGCACAGCTCACTCTGCACAGATGATAGGAAAGACAAAGAGAAAAAGAACTGGCTAATGTTTCTGGTGATACAAAATAAGAAGGATGGTTCCCTAGGCTGTCCTACAGGTCAAAGTAACTAAGTCTTCTGAGATGGTCCCTTTAACAGTCATCTGATAAGTCTTCTTGTGGAGGAAGCTAGCTATGCTATGTGGCACAGCACTGTTTCAACATTACCATAGATATTGTGATAGGAAGGTGATAAGTAAACAGAAATAAAAATGACACTACCTTTAATCTCAGGAAAATTAAGAAACAGTGGCTTCACTTATATTTACAATTCAAATTTTCAAAAAATCAATGCCTTCCCTTGTGGTAAGGCAATTGATGGAAGTCTGGGGAAATGCCAAAAGCTCAAACGGCTTGCAGGGCCTCTCAATGTTGTCTCTTGCTTTGTGTGGGCCTTGTCACTGTTTAGTGACTTTTTTTTTTTAAAAGGACCTGAAATCAACGTGTAGACACACATCTTTCTTAGTGAACTTTTCCTTGAAAATCTGGTATAGATATTACACCAACTGTATTTCATGCCTGCTTGAACCAGGTACTAAATGTGTTAAGTCAAATACAAACCTCAAGAAGGGGTTTATTTGGCGCTAGTGTTTTCATCATAGAATGGCGGGGGAAAATCCCACTGCCTTGGAAGTTTAGGGGAAGAGCGTGGTCTTTTTGTCACGACTCTATCGGTGTTTCTTCTAGGCTTAACCTCCATTATTATGTTTGGAACACTAGTCCTCTTCAGTCTTGTCCGGTACTCACTGAAGGTAAACAACAGATCATCCCTAACTATCAAAACAGATCTGAGAAAGCTGCCACCTAATCTAGCCATGGTAATAACTTCTCTTCTCCCCTCCCCCATGCTGGTCTTTTTGAAACATCTACCTCGATATATTATCTCTCTGCGGATTAAGGATTCGGGTTCCAGCCGGGTTTTTGGGTCACGTGCCTTTATTAATCAAACACATTACAACCCAGGACCACCAGCCCCCTTTCATTCACCTAGTCTTTCCAAATACCCGCCTACGCCCAAACTCAGCCAATTACAGCATAGGCTTCATAGTTTGAGCAGCAGGCCTTCTGGCCAATCAGGAAAGCTATCGCAAGACTGACAATCGATCTAATTAATCAGCGCCTGAGCAGGAGGCCGCGTTGAAGCTCGCCCTGCGTGACGAAAGAAGTGGCCAACCCCTGCAGAGTCTGAGACCATGGCGGCCAATCCGCACTGGTGGGAGACCGTATCCCGCCCCATCACGGTCACCCCCAGATCGCCCGCCTACACCCCCTCCATTTCACCTGCTTTTCCTCGCCGGTCTCCTCCGTAGGGTTCTCTTCTTCCTGTTTCTGGGACATGGCAGGGCCGGGACTGTGAAGTGTAAGGGGCCCGGGAAATCAACCGGAGAAGGGAAGGGGGAGGGGAAACGGGGACGACCTGCGCTGCTGCTTCGGCTCCTGTCACTATGGTTGCTCAGTCAAAATGGCGGCCCTTGCCCGTGACGTTGCGACCGCCCTTCCTATGAGAACCAATGAGAGTGGGATGGATGGGGCAATGATGTAACGATCTGCCAATACCTGCTGGTTGAAGGTGGGCTTTGTAACAGCGACGGGCAAGCTGGAACACCAACCTGGAAAGAGAGTGAACCACAAGGACCAATTGCGAGCCTGTAGAGGATCTTAGGGGCGGGACTGTTAGCTTTGGCATTTTTTTGCTTCTTGAGTGGGGTCAGACTTCCTTCAACTACACCCGCCTGCGCTCTAGTTTGCTGAACGTGAAACTGCAGAGCCAAAGGATGCAAACCCTTTATTTTCAGGTGGAGAGGATTAAGTTTCGCGCTGTGTTAACAGGAAATTATCTTCTCCTGTAATAAAATTTGGAGGTCAAAATGAATTTTAAAGTGGTATTCCTGGGGCGGGTGGAGTGGCCCAAGTGTTAGAGCGCCTGCCTAGCAAAGCCTAGCAAGCGGGAACCCTTGAGTTCAAACCCCAGTACCCTCAAAAATAAATAAAAAATAAAGTGATACTTAACAGTTTTTCGATGTGCCACTTACTGTATGAAATGGAAAGACAGAATTCCAACCCGAGTCGTCTTGCTTCTGGATGTATCTAAGGTTTACTTTCCATGAGATACATAAGACTGTAATTATTCAGGGTCATCCCATGGACACTTCACTCCTTGAAACTGGGAGCACAGTTCTAGGTACATGGTAAACATTAAGCAACTACAGTTAGTCCTAGACAAAAATCATAGCTCAACAATTGTTCCTGAGCATCTATCAGTTGATGGTACAGTACTAGTTTTACAGGCAATCTCTGCCTGTAGAAAGCTTAGTCCAGGGGTGTGGAGAAGAAAGGCTTTTGATTTAGGGTGCCCTAAATCCCCAAGATGGTATCTTTCTATTTTTAAAAAATTGGTCTAATATTTACAACACTTCAAAATTCACGATATGTTTTACTTTTTTTTTTTTTTGGTACTGGAGTCTGAGCTCAGGGCTTGCACCTTGAGCCACTCCACCAGCCCTCACCCCCTTTTTTTTTGCAATGGGTTTTTTTCTAGATAGAGTCTCTCGAACTGTTTTTCCAGGGTGGTTTTGACATGAGAGCATCCTGATCTCTGCCTCCTGAGTAACTAGAATTACAGGCATGAGCCACTGCTGCCTGGCAAGTTTCAGTTTTTAAGGCAAGTTCTTGTAACAGATAGCCTTAGGGCTACCTGTTCATTGTTTTGTAAAATTAGGTACACAGCTAATGGAAAAGTTTGAGAAGCACTGATTGTTACCATACAAGGCAAACTCTGGTAAGCATAAAAATATTTATAAAGTTCTATAAAGGGCTCAAAGGAAGGCTTAAATTAAATGTAGGATCCAAAAAGACTTCATGATAGAGATAGTATTGGAAATGAGCTTTAAAGAACTTAGAGGTTTGCCAGGTAAAAATGAAGGAAGAGCATTACAGATCATGAAAGCTAGAAAAATAGAATTGAGGTCATAACATGATGGGTTTTGAATGCCAGGGTAAAGATTCTGGAATAGTTCAATAATCAATGAAAGACCATTTAGGCCAGAGAGTGGTACAAGTGCCCTTTAGGAAGATTAATTTGGTGGTAATAAATAAAAATATTCAGAAATTAAAGCAGAAAGATGCTAGAAGTGGACAGTCTAGCCTGGAGTCTGCTGCAAACTTTAGGTAGGAGATAATTAGAATTTAACCTGGAAATGTGTTAAGATCCTCCTTCTGTACAACGAACTGTGTGGTGGGTGTGGCACCATTGTTCCTCTGCCATCTCCATTCTTTCTCTTTGACCAAAACTCTGCCATATGAAATAGGAGCACTGGAATAAGAACAAGATCTAAACCAAGAGGATGAAGAGATCACTGAGCGCCTTTGTAGCACATTGGGCCTGTGGCTGCCCAGCAACTCAGTGAGGAGTGAGCAACCTCAACCAGAAAAAGCATCACAGGACAGGACAGGCAGGATATTGCACCTATGCAGGAGAAAGGCAAAGGAGCATGTACAACTTTTTTTTTTTTCCATTTTTTGGGCAACTGTGAGCTTGAACTCAGGGCATTGCATTCACTAGGCAGGTGCTCTACCACTGAGTTACAACCCTAGCCTGAAATCACAGCTTTAAATGCGACAAGATACAACCAGGCATATGCTGTCAGACATTTCACTGTTAAATTTCTCACAATAAAGTTTTACAGTTTTCTGCAAAGAATTCAGGAAGGAAGGAGAAAGGGAGGGAGGGAAGGAAGAAAAAAGGTAGGGAGGAAGGAAGGGAGGGAAGAAGGAAGGAAGGAAGGAAGAAAGAAAGAAAGAAAGAAGGAAAGAAATACATCTGGGTGCCAGTGGCTCCCACTTGTAATTGTAGCTACTCAGGAGGCAGAGATTAGGAGGATAGTGGTTCAAAGCCAGCCCAGGAAAAATAGTTGGTGAGACCCTATCTTGAAAAAAACCATCACAAAAGAGGGCTGGTGGAAGGCAGAAATGAAGGAAAGAGAAACATGGTAGTTAAGAATACAAAACTGAATCTAAGAATCTGTGTCAATAGTATCTACTATATTAGCAGCTGATTGGACATAGGGAATGAGAAGGCTGTGTTTTCAAGGTGACTATTTGTAGAAATAATAAGTTAAAAAAGAGTCAGTTTGGGGCTAGGGTGTAGTTCAGTGGTTGAGTGTTTGCCTAGCATTCACAAGGCACTGGGTTCGATACCCAGTACAAAAAAAAAAGTCAGTTTGGGAGTCTATAAGGGAATCTAGGTTTCCCAGATTGTAATATCTGAGCATGACATGAGGCTCTTTAAGTAAGACAGAAAAAAAAAAAAAACTAATGAACTAAGAAAGAACCAAAAGTCATTAGATGAAGCTCAGCTTTGGAGGGACTCAGAGAGGCTTTAGGACAGGAGGTTGCAGTGAGAGGGAAATTTCAGTTTATCTCACAAGAGGTAGAGAAATTGCAGGTTCTGATGAGTTCTGTAACGATTATAATTGGTGGCAGATATGGCATGGCATGACATGGCTGTCACAGTCACTGAAGTTAATTTAATTAAGCAAATGTAAAGACATGCGATGCCCTAAGTTGTTTGAACCTTACTAATGAAAGAAAGAAAGAAAGCCATGACTGTTGAAGTCTCACAGCCTCAGAGCACATGACAGGGGAGGAGGTTAGACTAGGATGACTGTGACCCCTATGCTGAGGAACTCCAACACATATATTTAAGTATACCTTACATTGTGTAGAAACAATGAGATGATGCTTACTAAATGAGTTGTACATGTTTAAGGATCATTTCTAGCTCACGAGATTTAGGAATGTTTTAGAGGAGATAGAATTTAAACTGAGACTATGAGAATGTAAAGGTTGGAAATTGGCAAGAGGAGGGAGGAAGGAAAGACAATTTTTAAGACAGAGGACCACCCCATAAATAAAGATTAAAGAGTGATTCTTACCTTTTTGACTCTGAAACTATGGCAAGAGAAACAACTAAGATCCAAGTGCAGTTGTACATGCCTGTAATCACACCTACTCAGGAGACAGAGACAGGAGGGTCATGAGTTTGAGGTCAGCCCTGGCAAAGTTAGTGAGACCCTATCTTTTTTTGTAAGTTTTTTTTTTTTTTTGCATAGTACTGGGGTTTGAACTCAGGGCCTCATGCTTGCTAGGCAGGTGCTCTAGGACTTGACTTACTCTGCTAGCCCAGTGAGACACTTTCTTAAAAATAAAATACAGTTGGGTACAGGTGGCTCACACCTGTTAATCATAGCTATTCAGGAGGCAAAGATCAAGGGGATCACAGGTTTGAGCTGAGCCCAGGCAAAAAGCGAGACTGTATTTCAAAAAGACCAATGCACCAAAAAATGAGTGGAAGAGTGGCTTATGTGCTAGAGCACCTGCCTAGCAAGCATGAGGCCCTGAGTTCAATCCCCAATACTACCACTACCATCAAAAACAAAAAGGTTGTTTAAAAAAAGTGGTTTCATGTGGTGGGGGGCTAATCTCATCAGTACTTGGGAGGCTGAGACAGGAGGATGGAGAGGTTGAGGCCAGTCTGGACTATATAGGGAGATTCTGTCTCAAAAAACCTAAATAGGGTGGAGAATCCCCTTTCAGGCAGAAGGAGCCTCCTGTGAAGACACAGAACTGTAAGAAACCTCCATAGATGGGATCCCTGGTTCTCAATGCTGGGACTACAGGTGCATACCTGGTTTGGAAATAAGTTTTTTTTTTTTTTTTTTTTTTTTTGTGGTACTGGGGCTTGAACTCAGGGTCTTCACCTTGAGCCACTCCACCAGCCTTTTTTGTGATAGTTTTTTTTTTCAAGATAGGGTTTCCCGAACTATTTGCCTGCCTGGGCTGGCTTTGAACCTCGATCCTCCTGATCTTTGCCTCCCGAGTAGCTAAGATTACAGGCATGAGCCACCAGTGCCCAGCAAGTTTGTTTGTTTGTTTGTTTGTTTGTTTTGGTAGTACTGAGGTACTCAGGGCCTCAATCTTGATAGGCAGGCGCTTTACTGCTTGAGCTATTCCTCCAGCCCTAGTTTTTTGTTTTTGTTTTGAGACAAGGTTTCACTTATGTAGCCCAGATTGGCCTGGAACTTGCTACTTAGCTCCCCTCCCCTAAGACTGGCCTTGAACTCACAATCCTGCCTCAGTCTCCCAAGTGCTGGGATTACAGTCATGGGCGACCATGCCATGTACTAGAAAATCTGTACAGTGGAAATCTGTACTTTTGAAGAGCTTTTGAAGGAAATCCTGAAAATAAGACTAATCTGGGAAACTGTGTGGAGTAGCAAGACTCCTGTTACTCCACACGCCTGTTATGATGCATCAGAGATACCTGGGTTCAGTGGAAGAGGCTAGAAGAAGTGCAGAGGGGTGGACGCAGGGACCCTGAAGAAAAGGAGAAGGGGCAGCAGAGATGGCGTTCTTTCTTGAGTTTCATTATGTTGGACAAAGGAATGGAAGCTGAGATACCAGGGGGTAAAAAAAAAGGAATAGAA